ACTCCAGTCTGGGCGACAGAGTGAGACTCCAACTCAAAAAAAAAAAAAGAAAGGACCAGGGAAGGGTCTGGTAAGAGCATGGGCCAGATCACGGGAGTCCTCCCTGCGTAGAGTCTGGAGGCTGAAAGGGGTCCATTAAGTGCATCTAACCCAACGCCAGGTGGCTTTGGAATCTCCTCCACTTCCCCTCTTGCCACGTTTCAGCTGGTTTCTGCTTGTACACCTCTGGTGTTGGAGAGCTCACTGCTGCTGAGGTATTCCTTTTAGAATTGAGAAGAGGCACAGGCACCAGGAGCTAAGATGGATTCGATGGCCCTCTGTCACCTGCTCTCCTTTCTCCTTCATTCTGTCCCTGTCACTCTGTCCCTTGGACTCGCTTTGCTTAGCTCTATGAAACCAGGGTTTCTTGTGATTCAGCCAGGGAACTCCGAAGTGTCTGAGTGATGCCAAGGTACCAAACTCGGTGCCTGGTACGCATTGGACATTCAGGTGAGATGTGGTCGGCATTTGCCACAGACAAGACAGGGAAGGTAGCCTGACGCTGAGAGGCATCCCCTCAAGACTCCCAAAGCAAGCTCCTGGAAGGCACTGGAAACCCCAGCCCTGGTTTCTAAGGTCCAGCCGCCATCCAGGAGACGAACATTGTGGAATTCTGGGGACTCCTGCAAAAGCTCCTGGGAGGAGCCCAGGAGGGATTCTGAGTCCAGGTTCCCCAGGGGGTTCCCAGGCCCCCCACTGACGTCCTAGCTGTCCCTCATGTGCTTCCAGAGACGGACCCCTCAGGGCAAAGCTCTGTGCCTGGGGACACCGTGGCACTGGGGCAGGGGCAGGACCCCCGAATATGACCCTTGAGAGGTATGACTCGAGTCATGGGGAAAGGGAGTAAGGTTGGGGCTCAGGGAGACAGGAGGGTGATGGTGCACGTCAGGGGCCATTAGGACATCACTCTTCCCCAGGAAGCCGATTCTGCCTGGGAGAAACCCCATGTTTGCAAAGAGCCACAATGAGCAAGACAAGGTCAACAGCGCTTCCAGGCAGAGAACAGTAGGACTGCTTTAATAAACAGAGCGCTTTGTAATTAACACATGACATCCCCTAGGAATCAGCCCTGTAGTAAGCGCCTTGAAAAGCTTCTGTCCTCCTCAGCATCTTTTTTTTTCTGATTATATAAGGAATACCTAGTTATTGTAGAAACTCTGAAATACAAATATACACAAAAAGAAAAATAACACCCCCATATTCACCCTATAATTTTACCACCGCCCACGGATGTTTTGCCAACATTTTGGTGTATTTTCCTTAAATTAGTTTTCTAGACTTTATTTTTCTTTTCAGTCAAAGTCTTACTCTGTCACCCAGGCTGGAGTGCAGAAGAACAATCACAGCTTACCACAGCCTTGACCTCCTGGGCTCAAGTGATCCCCTGCCTCAGCCTCCTGAGTTGTTGGGATTACAGGCGTGTGCCACCATATCTGGCTAATTTTTTTTTATTTTCTGTAGAGATGAAGTCCCACGATGTTGTCCATGCTGTTCTCACACTCCTGGGCTCAAGCGGTCCTTCCGCCTCAGCCTCCCAAATAGCTGGGACTACAGGCAGGCCCCATTACATCCAGCTATTTTTTTTTTCTTCAATTTTCGGTAGAGACAAGGTCTCACTATGTTGCCCAGACTGGTCTGAAACTCCTGGGCTCAAGCGATCCTCCCTCCTCTGTCTTCCAAAATGCTAGGTTGACAGGCGTGGGCCACCATTCCCAGCCTTGACTTTTCTTTTTTTTTAAAGAGTGCTACAACCCTCCCCATGCTCCCCCCTCCCACAAGACTTATTTACTCAGCAAAGTCCTTCTTTGGAGTACAGAGGGCAGAGGTCAGAGCCCTACCCTGGGATCTGAGTCCTGATCTGAGAAGGATTTTCCTGAGACTCCAAACCGGTCCTCTCTGTTGCTGCTGTGTCCAGGAAGGCAAGACAGGAGCAGGGGGCCAGGAAACCCAGGGGAGTGGCCATCCTACTCCAGGCAGGGCAGGGGATCAGGTGCAGCAGCTGACTTTCTTGGGCGGCTTCTCAGGGACCACCTCCACCAGGGAGTCCTTCAGGTGGTCTTCTTGCATCTTGAGTGACCTGTGTGTCAGTACCCAGGCAGCATGGAGGGACCCATGGGTGCAGCTGGGGGCTGGGGGCTGGGCGGCTGCACCCCCGACTGCCATTCGCGGATTCATGCTATGTGTACTGCGTGCTGGGTGGGGCTCCTCTGATTCAGCACCCCACCTCTTCCTCATTGTATCCATTTATTGAGCGTCTAGTATGTGTCAGGGCCGGGGATGGGGGGAGGGCTGAACAAAACAGACGTGGCCCTGCCCTCCTGGACAAGGAAACAGACAAATGCATGCACAGTTGCAGTTTGTCAAGAAGGACTATGTGAAAGGGCACTAACAGGAGTCCGTGACCCAAAGAGTGGTGGGAGGAGCTTGTGTGTGTGTGTGTGTGTGTGTGTGTGTGTGTGTGTGTGTGTGTGTGTGCGTGTCTGTGTATGTGTGTGTAGGGACAGGGGAGATGATCCTGGGATGATGCAGGCTATTGCAAGATTTTTCAATTTCATTCTAAATCCATGGAAGTCACTGGAAGGTCGGGAGCAAGAGAGAGACTCTCTACAGATGAGAAAATTGAGGCTCAGAGAAAGGAAGCACCTCTGGGGTGTGAAACAGCTCGTGGGAATGGTGGGGCTGAAGTCAAGAGACTCTCAGTACAGTGCTCTCTCCCTCCTCAGATTGGTGGGTTCTGTTCTTTAACTAGACGTTTCCTTGGCCCGTTTCCTCAGAATGAGCCTTCTCTTCCCACAGGGAGTCAGGAGTGGGGCTGAAGGTTGTCCCAGAGGATTTGGGGGTGCATAGAGGATGCGGGAGTGGTACTCACCTGGCCAGGCTCACCATGGGCTCCAGGATGTTGTGACCCAAGACAGCACTGCACTCCCCAAAGGAGACCTTCAGCTCCTGCAAGCCAGACAGGGAGGGGCTTAGGGGAGATCACTAAGGGGCTGGGAGCAGCCCTGGCCAGCAAAGTCCTGGCCATTGGAATCCTGCCAGGGCTTCACTAAGCCACCTCGGATGGTGAGGCACCTTCACCTCAGTGCGACCATCGTTCCCAGCTGGACCCTTCTGCCCACTGCCCCTCCACCCTGGCTGGCCAAGGTCTCCAGGAAGCCACCACGGAGACACTCCACAGCCTTCAGAGGTGTCTGGGAAGCCTGCACCCCAACTTGGAGAAGCACCTCTGGAACCATGTTATACACATGATGTTTTATTTCAAAAATATTTCATGATGGGAAATATTGGGAGATACAGTATGAACAAGTGTAAGAACAAAATAGAAACCACTGCTGTTAGCATTTGGGTATATATTTCTTTTTTTTTTTGGTTTGCTTTTTTGAGTCGGAGTCTCACTGTCATCCAGGCTGGAGTGTAGTGGCACACTCACGGCCACTGCAGCCTCAACCTGCTGGGCTTAGGTGATTCTTCCGCCTCAGCCTTCCAAGTAGCTGGAACTACAGGCATGCACCACCACACCCAGCTAATTTTTCTTGATTTATTGTAGAGATAAGGTCTTGCCAAGTAGCCCAGGCTGGTCTCAAACCCCTTGTTTCAGGCAATCCTCTCACCTTAGCCTCCCAACATGCTGGGATTATAGGCATGAGCCACTGCACCCGGCAGCGTTTGGGTATATATTTCTGTTTGGTTTTTTTTTTTAGTTGAGGGGGTCTCACCCTGTCACCCAGGCAGGAGTGCAGCAGCACGATCACGGCTTACCATATCCTCAACCTCATAGGCTCAGGTGATCCTTCCACCTCAGCCTCCCAAGTAGTTGGGTCTGCAGGCATGCACCACCACCTCTGCCTAATTTTTTTGATTTTTTTAAATAAAGATGAGGTCTTTTTATGTTGTTCAGGCTGGTCTCAGACTCCTGGACTCAAGCAATCTTCCCATCTCCCAAAGTGTTAAGATTACAGATGTGAGCCACCACACCCAGCCATGGGTATACATTTCCATGCTGTTTTATAGAACCCTTTTATGGGGAGGACATGAAATAGCATTGTTAGGTCAAACCATAGGAAACTGTATGCCCCTGTCATCAATCTCAGCAATTTCCCATGGTTCAACCTACGCTAGACTTGCGGCTGCTTTTCTGACTTCACATGGTATCGTAAGCATTTCCCCACATCCTTAAATATTTTCCAGGACAGGATTCTTAGTGGCAAAGACCAGCTTCTCATATGAACCTTCACAATTTAGCCACCAGCTGCTGCCAAATGTGTGTTCTTTAAAATAATACTGTTAAAAAAGGCCTCATGTAAACATGGTCTGATTATGCGTTGTGTGTGGGTATGTATTAGGTATTCCCTGAGGGATTATTCTTTCTGATTCTTCCCTTAGGATAAATTGCTAGAGGAAAAATTACTATATCAAAGGGATGAGTCACTGCTTTTAAGAGAAAAATGTGCCTACCAAGCAGGAGCCATGACAATGACCTCTCGATTTTGAGAAATGAGAGGAGACACTGGAAGGTGTGAGAGCTGGGGTGGAGGAGGTGATTTTCCCCCCCTTTGTTATTACTCTCTAGATTTTCTGGAATGTGGCTAAATACTATTCATAAATAAATAATATCCACCATCTGGCAGTGGGGCTTTTGATGTAATCTTCCCAAGGAAGAATTTGAGTCTTAAGACAGAATAAATTAGAAGGGAGTATGTTCATAGAGACCAGCGATAAAATTAAGATTTGATTGGGAATTTTAAGTGAAGCTTTTACAACCTTTTTCCTCTGAAGATATTTTTTATGGAGGTTGGGACACCGGGTGGGAATTTGCTAATTCAACAGTAAGGTTCAATGTCACGCCCACCATTGCATCCTCGTGTTTGGTTCTGAGGCTGGTCCCCGGAGGCCCGGGCTGGGTGGAAGGCAGAGGCCAGGCTGCTGTACCCTCTGCCCAGGCCTTTGGTTGGGGCAGGGCTGGGGCAGGGGCAGAGGCGGGAGCCCTCTCAGTTGCCCAGGCCTGGTGCCCCGTATTCACTGCCCGCCAGGGAGGCATCTTGCCCAGTCCTGGTGGGGAGGGTGGGCTGGTGCCCGGGTACTTACCTGGGCCAGCTGCCGCCCAGCCTCAGTGGGCACTTGACGCTCTTGCTCACAGTCTATCTTGTTTCCCAGGAGCAGGATGACCACCTCATCTGACCCGACATCCTGTGCAGAGAACATGTTCTCTAAGCCACATGTATGCCAGGGCGCATTTAGCCCTGCCCTCCCAGAAACTGACGGTGTACTCCCCCACGGGTGCCCTCTCTCAGGCCACACCCCTTCCACATCCTTCTCACCTGGACACTTCCCCACATCTGCAGTGAGCCTGCCCTTCCACTCTGCCTATAAACATCTCCATTCAAGATCAACCTCAAGGGCACCTCCCTCAGGAAGTCTTCCCGGATTGCCCCTGCCCATGGCCCTCTCTTCCTGTCTGTGCCGAACAGTCCAGCGCTTAACTATCCCGACTGACTTGACATTTTCTCATCGTCTCACAAATAATAATAGCTTCTGATGACTGGGCGTTTGCCATACGTCAGGTGCTGTGCTGAAAGCAATTGAATGAGTTAATGGTCACTACTCTGCCATGAGAGAAGTCGGAAATGGAAGTTCAGAGAGGTTAAGTCACTTGTCCAAAGTCACAGAGTGTGAGTGGAATCGTTGGAATTCAAACCTAGGTCTCACCAACCCGGGAGCCCAGCTCTCCTCCTCACACATTTCCTTATCCTGTTTCTTTTGCATCCCTTCAATCAGACTAGAAACTTCTGGAGAGAGGACAACATGGCTGACTTCACACCCCTCTGCTGTGCCAGCACCCACTGCATATATATGTATCAAGTAGGTATGTGAGGGAAAGGACTAGAGGTGTGTGAACAGGGGAATCGTCGCCGAGATGGCGCCAGAACTACAAGAACTGCAACATCCTCAGGCGTAAGAAGACATCACAGACCCACTGTGTGCAGGAAAGACATGTTCACAGGATAAAGGAAGTAGTGTGGTTTGAAGGCTGTGTACTGCGTGGTTGTGGTTTCTTTGTACTACTGCACTTCTAGCCCTTTCCACCACATGCCCGCATGTCTGCTGTGTCATCTGTAATCCTGGGAGAAAAGGGGGAGTGGGTGGGATACAGGTTCCCTCTTGACTCCGAAAACTGGGGTCAACCCCATCCGCTCACCTGGAGACAATCTAGCCAGTAGCGCACGTGGGCAAAGCTCTCCTGGGAGGTGACGTCATACATGAGCACCACCCCGTCGGCCTTGTGGAGCAGCTGCCGTGTCACGCTGTGGTACCTGCCCAAAAAGTCTGTGTGAGGCCACACTCGGCAGCCTGGCCCCAGGCCCTGGCAAGAGAGTTTGCCCGGCCTGCCTCTCAGGGCTTCCCAGACTATGCACACGCTTTCCTTCCCACAGGGGAGTTATTGTTGACCGGGTAACAGTTCTCGTGGCTCAGATTTCAAAAGATCCCAAAAGACACTCGGTGAAAAGTCTCCCTCCACCTGCCCCATGCTGTAGCCACCCATTCCCGTCCCAGAGGCAAACAGTTATCGGTTTCTTTTTTCCTTCCTTCCTCCCTTCCTTTCTTTCCTTCCTTCCGTCCTTCTGTCCTTCCTTCTTTTCTTTCTTTCTTTCTTTCTTTGAGTTGGAGTCTCATACTGTCGCCCAGGCTGAGTGCAGTGGCACGACCACAGCTCACCACAACCTCAGTCTCCTGGGCTTGGGTGATCCTCCCACCTCTGCCTCCCAAGTAGCCGGGAGTGTAGACATGCACCATCACACTCCACTAATTTTTTTAAGGGATGAGCTCTTGCTATATTGCCCAGGCTGGCCTCAAGCTCCTGGGCTCACGCAATCCTCCTGCCTTGGGCTCCCAAAGTGTTGGAATTATAGGTGTGCACCACCATGACCAGCCTACCAGTCTCTTAGATTGTTTTTTTTTTGAGTTGGAGTCTCACTCCGTTGCCCAGGCTAGAGTGCAGTGGCATGCTCACAGTTATCCCAGCGTCGACCTGCTGGGCTTCAGCGATCCTTTCGCCTCAGCCTTCCAAGTAGCTGGAACTACAGGCGTGCACTACCATGCCCGGCTAATTCTGAGATTTTTTTATGAGGTATTTTATATATATACATTTATATTTACATACACATATGTACACACACATACCCAGATATATACCCAAATATCTTTTCCTGTTTTATACAAATACAGTGTAAGACACCCATTGTGCTCATTAATACTCAGTATTCTGCATTTCATTGTTTCCAGTTAACAAGCTGCCTTGAGATATTTCCCTACTGGTATGTAAAGAAGGATCTCGTCTTTTTTTTTTTTTTTTTTGAGTCGGAGTCTCACTCTGTCACCCAGGGTGGAGTGCAGTGGCACACTCACGGCAACCGCAGCCTCTCCGCCTCAGTCTTCCAGGTAGCTGGAACTATAGGCATACATCGCCATATCCAGCTAATTTTTTTGATTTACTGTAGAGACGAGATCTCTCCAAGTTGCCCAGGCTGGTCTCGAACCCCTGAGCTCAGGCAGTCCTCTCGCCTCGGCTTCCCAAAGTGCTGGGGTTACAGGTGTGAGTCACTGCGCCTGGCTGGTTCTCATCTTTTTTGTGGCTTTATCATGTCCTGTTGTGTGGGCTGAGCCCAATTTATTTAACCGGTTCACTAGGGAGGGACATTTAGGTTGTTTCCTGTCTCCTAAAATAAGCAGTGTCCTATGAATGGTCCCGGTCCCTTCATATTACAGTCCTGTGTGAGTCTGTCTGTAGAATGAATTTCTAGAAGTGGAACTGCAGTACCAAAGACGCATCTTTCAAGTTTGGATCACTACTGCCTAGGTGGAAAGAGGAAAGCCAGCATTTCCAGAAGGACAGGCAGTTGGGTGACTGTCCCCATGTTGGGACGATCCTAATACATGCCCCTCAGGCTGCTGGGTCTGCCACCCCATCTCCCCTCCCACCTGGGCTTGACTCTCTCCTTCCCTGACCTCCTGAACTCCGGTGGCAGCTGCCTCCTCTGCACTTGGCTGCCTCTTGCCTGTGTCGTCAGGGCTGCCCTCTGTCCACATCCCCACCCCTGGGCTCAGCCTGGGTCCCTAACACAACTGATAGTGGCCATTACCTCTCCTGGCCGGCCGTGTCCCAGAGCTGCAGTGCAAACCACTTGTTGTCCACCAGCAGGTTTTTGACCCGAAAATCCACTCCTAGGACGCAACAGAAAAAACTGCTGTCAGGTTGTCACCTGGGACTTGTCGCCAAGGCCTGCCCAGGACATACTTGTTCCCAACCCAAGCCATGGCGAGGTGGAGCCTTTGGCCACTGGGCTTCTCTGAGCTCTCCATCTCATCCATACTTGAGGAACCACTTGCTCTTAGAAGCCTCCCAGACCACTGACCACAACACAAAGGTTGTAGCAACACGAGGCATCTTGTCTGTCCAGTCATGTTTATTCCTTGCCCCTTATTTTTGAGTCAAAGTTTCACTCTGTTGCCCAGGCTAGAGTGCAATGGCGTGATCATGGCCACTGCAGCCTCAATCTCCTGGGCTCAGGTAATTAATTCTTCTGCCTCAGCCTCCAAAACAGCTGGGACTACAGGTGTGCACCACCACAAATGGCTCATTTTTAAATTTTGTGTGCCAGGCTGCCTAGGCTGGTCTCAAACCCGTGGGCTCAGGCAATCTTACCTCGGCCTCCTAAAATGTTGGGATTACAGGTGTGAGTCACTGCACCCAGCAGAATCTGCTATTTTAAATGAGCACCCCCCCACACACACCCAGAGAGAGGGGCAATGTCAACCCCAAAAGAGGCTAAATCTAGTGTGGGGGCCTGGTCTTTTAAGGCAGGGACTTTGGGTATGAACTTTGGGGCCCAACCAGGGCAAGAAACAACCTGGTCTCCAATTCTCTGCTTTCCTCATCTGTAAAATGGGGACAGATATGGAAAATGCACATTCGGATGGAACTCTGTGGGCTTGGTTGTCTACCTGGCCCTGTCCTCAGATGCAGGCTGGCGCTTGTTTTCTGAGGGAAGGGGGCGGGAGTAGAGGGAGGGCGATGCTGGGTGGGGAAATATTGGCTGGAGTCAGAATCGTCCCCTGAGATACTTAAACCAGAACAGATGACAGCCACCGGGGGGCAGCAAACCTACCTGGGATTGGGATGTTTGAATCATGCCCCGGGATCCCAGGAATTTTCTTTTAAATAATAATGCGACTTGTGCTTTCCTCGATCAAATTTTGTGGGATCTTCTTACCATACACTCAGGGGGAAGGTTCGATTACAAGGAGGGATGTATTAAGGAATAAGACACGAGGCTGGGCACCGTGGCTTATGCCTATAAACCCAGCACTTTGGGAGGCTGAGGCCAGAGGATCGCTTGAGCCCAGGAGTTCAAGACCAGCCTGGGCAACACAGTGAGACCCCATCTCTAAAAAAAGAAAGAACAAAAAAGAAAAGAAATTTTACTTTAAAAAATAAAAGGAAAAAAAGGAATGAGACACATATGAAAGATGTCTCGTCAGTAAGCAGTAGCTCAGAAGCTGATTCATGGCAGCCTTGTAGACCTGTGACCTTACTCAACATGGAGCCAGGACTGCTGTGGGGTTCCTCTTTCCGAGGGTACTTCATTTCTATCTCCCAGGTGAGGAGTCTTGGGCACGTGCTTGAGGACCCATGTTGGGCCTCTTTTGTTCAAGGATTGTCATTTACCGACTGACCTGGTACTGGCCCCTGGTTGGCATGTGCCCCGGCCTGACACAAAGATGTGTGTCACTCCATCTTTGTCCCTAAGTGGGTCTGCCTTCCATTTTATTGAGCTGGCTTTTTTGTAGCGCTCCACAAGATTCAGTGGCCATATATCCCAGTACTTTTAGGGAGGATAGGCTTTCTGCTTTGGGTCTCTCTTACAGGAACCACTGAGGCAGACATGATCAAATATTTACTTATAATAACAATAACAATCATAGCTGGGCACAGTGGCTCACGCCTGTAATCCCAGCACTTTGGGAAGCTGAGACAAGGGAATCGCTTGAGCCCAAGAGTTTGAGACCAGCCTTGGCAACATAACAAGACCTCGTCTCTACATAAAATTTAAACAAATAAGCTGTGCGTGGTGGCACACACCTGTAGTCTCAGCTACTTGGGAGGCTGCGGCAGAAGGATCACCTGAGCCCAGAAGGTTGAGGCTGTGAACTGTGATCATGCCACTGCACTCTGGTCTGGGCAACAGAATGAGATCCTGACTCAAAAAAAATTAAAATTCAATTAAAATTTAAAAATAGCAGTCATCATAACTAATGTTTATTGAGTACTCACTACATGCCAGATATTCTAAGAGCTTGACCAGTATTAACTCAACCAATCGCCACTATTCTAGGATTATGCTGATGAGAATTTGGTGGCTCAGAGGGGTTAAATAAGTTGCCAAGTCCATACCCCTGATAAATGGAAGAGCTGAGGTTTGAACTCGGGCACCTGGGCTCCTAACTTAACCACATTCCACAAACACATTCTGTGTAAAATACTCGATTTGCACAGGGTGATTTCCAGCCAGAGCATGGCTGCCTGGCATGGAGCTCGTCACCAGCACGATCCCTGCAGTGGCCTGCCTGTGGGTCTCGTGGGTGGAGACTTGCTTGTTTTCACTGTCAACTGGCACTGCCACCTAGATTGCAGGGTTCTTTGTTGATGTGGCACATTATAAGCTAATCAGATCAATGCAGAAAGAGCAAATTACCTGTAATTAGAGATGATTAGCAAAATAGTCAAATTATGCCCATATAAAATAATGTCAGGCTCAGGGCCAGGATAGAACCTGCAACTACCCCAGGAGTGGCTTGCTATAGGCCTGTTCCCACTCGTTGGCCCTGGCTTCCGGGCCTCCCTTCTCTCCCAGCCTCCCTGTCAAGCCAGAGCCTTACCCACAGTGGCTGTCAGCCCAGTGGCAAAGGCGTTCTGGTGCAGCAGATGCAGGAAGGATGTTTTGCCCACATTGGAGTCCCCCAGGAAGATGACGTGGAACAGGTAGTCAGGGTCGGCCGGAGGCTTGCCAGCCAGAGAGTTCCCCGGGGATAGGGTCAGCCCAGTCTCCCTGGAGTCCCTTCCCGGGTCTTCAGGCCTGCTCTCTGTCCTTGGCTCTCTGGATTGAGGGACACTTTTTTCTCCTTCTATGTGAGTGGCCGTGGGCGGGGGCCGGGGTTGGGCTTCCTGCTCAGCCATGGTGGGGAGGGTTGACGTGGGCTCCCTGGGTTCTGCTCCAGCCCCAGGCTGAGCCCCGCTGGGCAGAGAGGCCCTCGGAGGTGATGGTTTTCCAGGGACTTCTGCTTCTGCCTGAGCCTGGGGTGTGTCCAACAGGAGAGGCTCAGGCAGCGGACCTTGCTGGGGGAGCTCTGAATGTCTGTTTTCCAGATCCTGAGCCTCAGCTGACTGCTCTGAACCGAGGTCCTCCCCACCTCTGTCCTCGGCCCCGGGTTTCTCTTCTAGACTCCAGGCAGGGAGGGCAGGCAGCCCATCTGGCCCGAGGACCTGATCAGGAGCGTCTCTTAGCCTCTCAGGGCGGCCCCCCTGCCCTGCTGGGCTGAGCTTTCCCTGCTCCAGCCCCGCTGTGGGATCCTGACCCCCAGGCTCCAGGCCCTGGGAGGGCTCAGCTGGCTCCTGGGTGACAGCTGCAGCCTCCTGGGACCCTGGTCCTGGCTCAGAGCCAGTGGCATGCAGGTCCTGAGGGGCCTCTCTCTGTCTGGGCGGCTTGAGTGGGGCAGGCTCAGGCTCTGGGCCCTTGTCATCCAGGTCTGAGGCCTGGAACTGCTTGCTGGGCCTGTCTGGGGCCTGCAGAAGTGGGGAGTCCCTGTGGGGAGAGGGCTCATTCTCCAAAGGAACGAGCACTTGGAGTGCAGCCGCCACCAGACTTCCCGACTTCCCAGCAGGGGTTCCTGGGTGACCCCAGGGGAAGCGGGCCTCAGGTCTGGGCCCTGGCTCCGGGTCTGGACCCAAGTTGTGAGGCTCCCCTGGCTGCTCCAGACTGAGGTTCTTCCCATCTGGGTCCACTCCTTCACCACCCTGGGCACTGGAAGGCACAGGGGGGCTTCCTGGCGCCCCATTCAGATCTGAAGACGGCTCCTGTACAGACAGCACAGTGTGTGGCTCCGAGATGGAGATTTGCCTGACCATGCGGGGGGTCTGGGGGCCGGAGGTGGCTCTTGGACTTGGGGGTGGGCTCCAGGAGAGCTGCAGGGCTCTGTGCGGAGGGCTGCTGAAGCTGCCCAGGAGCTGGGCCCAGCCGTCATTGTCCTCGAACAGCCCAGGCAGGGGGGCCTCCTCGGGGGTGACAACCTGAGGGTCTGGGGCCTTCTCGCCTGCTCTGGGGACACTGGGAAGGAAGCAGGGGGGAAGGTCAGGGGAGGGGCAAGAATGGTGTCACGCCCCGCCCACCCACACCCCCATCATCCTTTGCTGGCCCCACGGCTGGCCCTCCTCCCACTCCGTGCTCACCGTCCTTCTCACCTGGCTTGCACCCCCCGGCTATCTCCCCTCATCCAGTCCTGTTCATCCTCAAGACCCACATGAAGCCTCACCTCCTCTGGGAAGCCTCCCCTGACCCTTCTGCCTCCCGCCATTCCCCTGAGTGCCACTAGGCACTCACTAGGGATCCATCACCTCACCGGGCCCTGTGTGTGTGTGTGTGTGTGTGTGTGTGTGTGTGTGTGTGTGTGTGTGTGTGTGTGTGTGTGTGTGTGTGTGTGTGTGTGTGTACACATGTGCACACATGTGCATGCTTTCATCCAGCTGTGTGGTCTTGGGCACAGGTCTTTCCCTCTTCTATGCCTCAGTTTCTTCATCTGAGATATGGGCGCAGCAATCCCAGCTTGGTGGTACTGTCGTGAGGTATAAGGAGGGAAGCCATGCGTGCTGTGTGCAAACCAGAGCCTTAGAGAACTCTGAGCCTCCCGCCCCTCTCCCAGGAAGCTACTGGTGACCGCCCCAGGCCAGGGATGGCAGCCACTCACCCCAAGTCCTCCTCCACCTGCCAGGACACCCGGCCCCTGGCGGCGTCCAGGTGCCCCCTGGTCACCTGCAGCTGCCCCCGCACCTCCTCCAGCCGCCCAGCCAGGTCCCGCTCGGCCTCCCGGAGCTGCTGGTTCTCGGAGCTGGCCTCCTGGTGTGTGCTACTGAGGCGGTGGAGCTGGGCCTCCAGCTGCAGGGGCGGGAGATGAGGGGAGAGCCTCCAGGCGCCATCAGGGATGTAGACACCCACCCTTACCCAGGAGAGACATTGACACGTCGGAGTGGGGAGGAGAGAGAGACTGAACAACATGAACCACCTGCACCACCGGGGTGTGAGACGTGAATCACATCAGCCTCCTCTGCTCCGAGGCGGGCCATGGCTGCTGGTCCCTGAGCCCCACCTGGCCTGCGGGAGGCTACTGACCCAACAGCGAGTCACATGACTGGGAGAGGGGGAGCTGCTTGACCGCACAGCAGGGACGGCGAGGCTCACAATGACCTCCAAGGCCCTGCCATCTCCCCGCCATCCCCTCACCTCCCGTTGTGACTCTGGCCTCTTTTCTGACTGCTGTCGCCTCCCTCTGTCTGTTCCAGTGCCTGGCACATAGTAGGTGCTCAATAAGTAGTTGTGGGGGGGAAGAGTGATGGTCTGGAGGGAGGAGCTTCAAGTCCACAGGGGATGGGACAAAATGGCCCCACTTGGAACTGCCTCAGTTTCCAAGAAGTGGCTGCTCCTGGGAAATCCAGCAGGTGACAGGGCCAGCCAAGGCAGGGGCGGGGAGGGCACTGGGGACCTTGCCCAGGGTGGAAGGGGTGCCAGTTGTCCTGGCCACCACAGAGGGGGGTGTTACGAAGGTCGTGGTCTACAAGTTGAGGAAGGAGGAGACGGTGGGGAGGGTCTCAGACCCAGAGCCTCGGCCACCGTGCCAACCGGAAGGATGACAGGCTACCTGGCCCGCGGTGTTGGGGCAGTAGGTAATCTGACGATAAGCAGGAAACTGGGTCAAATTCAGAGACAGGAGCAACTGTGATGTTTAAAGCACCTACTATGTGCCAGGTACTGTCAGGCCCTCACAGCTAAGGCAGGAGTTCAGTTTGCCATTTCTCTGATGAGAAATCTGAGACTCAGAGATGCTGAAAACCTGCTCAAGGTTGCTCAGCAGACAGGGAAGATGAGAGTTGAACACCAACCGTCCAGTCCCCAAGCCTCTCCAGCACAGAGGCCAATGCGTCTGTCCAGTGCTTTCCTGTTTCCAAGTGCCTTCCCGGTTATTGCCTCATTTGACACAACTAACCCCGGGAGGTGCAGTGGATGTGGTTCACCCCATTTTACTGAGACCGGGACAACCCAAGTTACTTCCTCGGGTCTGTGTGACTGTTCATCAGAACAGCAAGGGTTTGCCCCTGGACCTTCTGACTCGCAGCGCAGTGCACTACCTGGCCTCATCTCAGAAAAGGGCCCAGGAGGCCTGAGCAGCCCAGTGAACCCTCAAGGCTGGGTGGGGCTTCAGGCTGACTTGTTCAGCTGGGGGACAGCACGCAGATGGCAGGCCCTAGGAGATGGGCATCGGTCCGGGGACCCTTAGAAGTGGGTCCTCGGGAAGCCCCGTCACTCACCTCCCTCTGGTCCTCAGCCAGCTGCTGCACCTCGCACTCTTTGGCCTCCAGGGCCTCCTGCATCTGGGAGCTGAGGGCCAGGCCCCGAGAGTCGCTCTGTGGAGGAGACCGGCTCAGCCCCCGCCCCGCAGACTCGAAGAGCCAGCCGGCTGAGCCCGCCCGCCCTTCCACCTCCAGTCAGACCCGGGGTTCAGGGGCCAGGACGTCCCGGCTCTCAGGACAGCTTCCCAGCTCAGGCCCAGACCGTGCAACCAGGAGCCTGAGGCCCAGAGAAGGGAAAGACCAGGCCTGGGGACAGTGAGACCTGGCAGAGATGGGGAGGAGGCCTGGGTCCGACACGCCCCACTCCACCCCATCTCCCTGGGGAGCACCTCAAAGCAGGGAGAGGATCCACTCCTGCAGCCCCCTGCAGCCCTGCACTGGCCAGTCCCGGCCTCACGACTTAGCCAGAAGAGGGATCCGGGCGCGGGAGGAGACAGGCACCAGTGGGGAGCCCACCTCGGCCTGCAGCTGCTGCTTCTCCCGGCAGATCTGCTGCTCCATCTCCTCAAAGAGCTGCTGAACTTTGCGATGGTGGTCAGAGTCGTGCCTGGAAGGAGTGGAAGTGAGACCAGGCAGCCATCAGGGCCTCGGGAGCCTGCTGGAGGCAGGGGTGATCTGGACTTGGGCTTAGAGTCCATCCTGCTAACCCACCCTGCCAGTGATCACTGACCTTGTCACCCTGAGAACAGCCATCTCTGTAACCACCTTTTGACCCTCATGACCTTGACATCGGTCCCCTGGTCCCACCATGCTGACTCGTGTCACCATCACCAGTTCCCCACCCCTGTCACACGCTCCCCATCATCCCCTCACTCTGTCCTCTCCTACCTCTGTCATCATCCCCTCTCCCGTAAAGCAGATCCCTTGCCAACGCCAGGGCCACCGCAGGCACTGAAATTTCCATGAGCCGCACCCCTGATGCTGGGCGCCACAGGGCCCTGCACTGAGACACACTGGCCATGCCCACCGCTGCTAAAGGACCAACCTGTCCTCCCCGACAGGTCGCCCTGAGCCACCTCTTCCTCCAGCTCAGCTCTGTCCCATGTAGCGCCCGGGCCCTGCCGTGGACCCCAGCTCCTTCCAGAGATGGTAGAGTTCATTTCAGATTCAACCAGAATGTGTAAACCCGCGGGCAAGGCCCCCACTCACTTCCTCAGGCTCCGCTCCAGAGCCTCCTTGTCTGCCTGTGCTTCCTGCAGGCGGCTGGTCATCTTGGCCAGAAAGCCAGCCAGGTCACCTGCCAGCTGGGGCTCCTCCTGCCGCAGCTGCCCCCACAGCTGCCAAATCTCCGTCTGCCTGGAGAGGATGGGACAGCCAGAGATCAGATACAAGGGGGACCAAGGAGCAGAGGGAGCCCCACTCCTCAGCAGTCTGTTTTGTTTTTGGGGGGGTTTTTTGAGTTGGAGTCTCACTGTTGCCCAGACTGGAGTGCAGTGGCCGCGCCCGGCCACCACAGCCTCGACCTGCTGGGCTCCGGCAATCCTTCCGCCTCGGCCTTCCGAGTAGCCGGAATTAGGCAATTCACTCACCTCAGCTTCCCAAAGGCGCAGGATTATAGGCTGAGCCACCGAGCCCAGCAGCTGTTTGCTTTTTAAGTTGTCGTTTTACTCTGTCACCCAGACTGGAGTGCAGTGGCACAATCACGGCTTACAGCTGCCTCCAACTCTTGGCCTCGTGTGATCCTTCCACTTCAGCCTCCCTCGTGTGATCCTTCCACCTAGCTAATTTTTTGACTTATTATAGAGATGAGGTCTCACTATGTTGCCCAGGCTGGCACTACTCAGATTTAATGGCAATGCTCCAAGAGAACATGAAAATACATTGAAGCCCTACAAGGCACAATTCAAAACCCACCTCCTCCAGAAATTGTTCCTAGGTGTGCCCTTTCCTTCTCGAACCCCCCCCCATCCTCTGTCTCTCTAGGATTCAGTGATTAATAGTGGGGTGGGGGCACTGGGGAGCCTGACAGCCCAGAGCTCCCATCTGCCTTCTCTCCTTTTCCATTCTGAAGCCGTGTGACCTTCAGCAGGTCTCTTGCCCTCTCTGGGCTCGAGGTGGCTGATACCTGCTGAACAAGGTCCCTGGGAATGAGAGACACGCCTGATGAAAGCATCAGCTCAGGGCCTGGCACACGGTTGGCACTCCATCAATACTGCTTTCACATAGATCGAATTAAGTCATGAAGACACACGCCAGGAGGGTGAGCCCAGGACCAGCCTCCGAGTGCGTAAATGGCTCCCCGCCCTGCTGGCCTCACCAGCCCACACCCCGCCCCGCCCGTATCTCAACACCTGGCCCCACCCTCTGAGAGCCAGAACGTGAGGGATCTTGTCCTCACACAGCCCCGTGGGTGGGGTGAGCCAACCTGGGTGATTCCCTTGCTGACTCTGGGGAGTGGGGGGTGTGGAAGGGGCATTTTCTTTCCTTTTCTTTCTTTTTTTTTTTTTGCGTTGGAGTCTCACTGTCGCCCAGACTGGAGTGCAGTGGCCACTCCCGGCCACCGCAGCCTCGACCTGCTGGGCTCCGGCGATCCTTCTGCCTCAGCCTTCCAAGTAGCTGGAACTACAGGCGCGCGCTACCACGCCCGGCTCATTTTTTGATTTATTGCAGAGATGAGGTCTCGTCAAGTTGCCCAGGCAAGTCTCGAACCCGTGGATTCAGGCAATCCACTCACCTTGGCCTCCCAAAGCACAGGATTACAGGCTGAGCCACCGAGCCCAACTGGAAGGAGCATTTTCAAGCGGGGCTCCCCCTCTGAGTGTGAGCAAGCCCTATCTGCCCAGCACCCAAGACCTATGGGAGGAAACACCCTCCTGTCTCCAAACCTGTGCAACCCGGGGTACCAGCATGCCTGAAATCACCCCGCAGGGGACCCTCTTTCTGAGTTAAGAGAGGCACCCTGGCCGGGCTCGGTGGCTCAGCCCGTAATCCCAGCACTTTGGGAGGCTGAGGGGAGTGGATTGCCTGAGCCCGTGTGTTCAAGACCAGCCCAGGCAACTAGGTAAGACCTCATCTCTACAAAAAAAAAAAAATTAGCTGGGTATGGTAGTGCATGACTGTAGTTCCAGCTACTTGGAAGGCTGAGACAGGAGGATCGCCGGAGCCCAGCCGGTCGACACTGGGGTGGTCATGAGTGTGCCACACCACTCCAGCCTGGGCAACGGAGGCTGACAGCCCAACTTGCTAATCCTTCCGGAGAGTGACCCTACACTGCAGACAATGGGCGAGGGAGGGAGGGGACGCGGACAGGAAGGACTCCCGTGAGCTGGCAGCCTCAAATGGTTTTAATCCCACAACAACCGGGGAAACAGAGGTCAGAGGTCGGACCAAACACCTGCGGTCACACAGTTAGCCAGAGGCCAAGCCAGGAATGGCGCCCGGCTCTACCCTGCTGCTGCCGCCAGGGCACCGTTTCCAGGAGAGCCCTCACCCCACTGTCAGGCAGAGCCTCGCCCGCCTCACCCACCGGCCTTCCTCAGGAGGAAGGTGGCCGGTCCCCAGCTGCTCCATGAAGGCAAGGAACGCCTCCTTGTCCTCAGCATCCGCCTCCTCCAGCGCCGGGAAGCTGGCCGTAGCAGATGCCCGCTTAGAGGCCAGTGGTCTCCTTCTGCGGAGCCTGTGGGTGCTCGGGCTGGAGCCAAAGATGTTTTCTGTGGAACAGAGGGGAACAGAGTGGGCTTAGAAGGTCAGGCTCCGGACCTCCCGCCAGCCTTGCCCCCGCCCCTGGGGTAGCAGTTATTCCTGTGCCAGTCACATTTATACAGTCACATTCACCCCTCCCTCGTGTTGACCTTGGGAGTCTACTCAAGGGAGACACTGTGCCCATTTTGCAGATGAGCACCTGAGGCCCAGAGACACCAAAAGACTTGCTGGGGCCAGGCACGGTGGCTCACACCTGCAATCCCAGCACTTAGGGAGGCCGAGGTGAGAGGATTGCCTGAGCCCAGGGGTTCGAGACCAGCCTGGGCAACTTGGTGCAACCTCGTCTCTACAATAAATCAAAAAAATGAGCTGGGTGTGGTGGTGCACGCCTGTAGTTCCAGTTACTTGGAAGGCTGAGGTGGAAGGATTGCCTGAGTCCAGAGGGCCGAGGCTACAGTGGCCATGAGTGTGCCACTGCTCTCCAGTCTGGACAACAGAGTGAGACTCCCACTCAAAAAAAAAAAAAAAAGACTTGCTGGGGGGTTCACACAGCAGCTCCATAGTGGTCAATAGATTCTCTGTGTACTCGATCCAAAGATATTTATTGAACATTTACTATGACAAAATCAGCCAAAATCCCTGTCCTGATGGAACTGATATTCTAGTAAGAGTTGAAAAGGATACTTTTTCTTAAAAGCAAATTTGTTAATGAGCTAAAGGCATAAACAAGGTAATTTTCATTGAGAGACTGGTAGGATTTACTGGATAGGAGTGTCCCGAGGAAGTGACATTGGAACTGAGATGGAAATAACAGGAAGGAGCAAGCCATGTGGATTTCCAGAGAAGCACATTTCAGGTGGAGAAAACAGCAAGTGCAAAGGCCCTGAGGTAGGAACCAGGCTGACCAGTTGGGAAGGGGTGAGTGGCCCAGAGTGAGGCGTAGAGGCCTGAGTGACCGTGAGTGAGTGGCCCTGAGTGAGCAGCCCCCTCCCCAGAAGGGGGTCAGAGTCCACAGGCATTGGGAAGTCCCTGTCATGGTGAGCATGATTGGATTCTGGCATGAAGATGACCCCTGGGGCTGCATGGACGGCAATGTCCCCCCGGCACCCACCTGCAGTTCCAGCCCTAGTTCCTTCTCCTCACTCTTAGTTCTCAGTCACTGGAACTGGAGCAAGGACCTCCTGGGGTGACCCCACCCACTTTGGAAATGCAGATTTCTGGTCTCTCTGTCTGCTGTCCTCTAGACCGTTGGAGACTCAGCCAGCCTGAGGACTGGGGATGGCTTTGTGGACACTGGAGGTTGTGCCTTGCAGGGGCTCTGAGAGGACACTGTGTCCCCTGTCCCCAGTCCCCCAATCCCCCCCAACCCCTACCCCTTCACCACCCCTCTTCCCTGGGTGGGAAACCTCCTCCTACCGAGAGGATCAGCGGGGAGCATTTGCCCTCCAGGTCTTGGGTGTTTGCCCTCCGGGTCTTGGGCTCTCTAAGTCCTGTCACCCAACCTGAGAGGCAGGTGGTGAGTGGGCTTAACACCTGAGAAGCTCCCAGTTCTTAAATATCACCCTCTGCAGCTCCCTGGGGGCCTGGAATTCTCACAACCAAAGGCAGAGTAAGACCCTCCCCAGATAGAAACAAACTTGTGGTTTCCAGAATGGGAGATATTCAACCTCTCCCTCAGGAGAAGCCTTTTAAGTGGGAGAAGACAAGGGAGGAGTCTTTTTTTTTTTTTTTTTTTTTGAGTTGGAGTCTCACTCTGTCACCCAGACTGGAATGCAGTGGCCACTCCCGGCCACCGCAGCCTCGACCTGCTGGGCTCCGGCGATCCTTCCACCTCAGCCTTCCAAGTAGCTGGAACTACAGGTGCACGCTACCACGCCTGGCTAATTTTTGATTTGTTGTAGAGATGAGGTCTCACCAAGGTGCCCAGGTGGGTCTCGAACCCGCAGGCTCAGGCAATTCACTCACCTCAGCCTCCCAAGTCGCGGGATTACAGGCTGAGCCACTGAGCCTGGCTGAGAGGAGTCATTTAAAAAACCCAGAGGCCTCCCTGGAGGAGGGGGCATGCCCAGGGGAGTGTCCTGAACTGCTCTGCACAGGGTGGTGGTGGTGGGTTGTGAAGATCCCTGGGAAAGGGGGTGGCTTTCTTGACAACCCATCCCGTGAGGTATGCCTGGCTGTGCAGAAAGTCCCCAGAGACCCTCCCAGGACAGACATACTGAGTCCAGAGCTGAATTCTTCTAGGGACAGGTGTCCCTTCCGTTCCACATCCACCCAGTCGAAGATCATTTCCGGCTCCTCCTCGCTGCCCAGGAAGCTGAACTTGACTGCCTGGAAGGAAGGGGTGAGTTGGGCAGCTGTCCCCACCGGGAGAGACTCTGGGTCACCCTCAGAAAAGGAGAGATGTTAGTCTCCAGGCAGCCCCACCTCCCCCCTCCCGTCTCAGAGTCCCCCCAGTAACCTGACCCAGGGCCTCCCCTTGGGGGTCCCAACCCGTCCAAGGTAGCCCTCTCAGCTACCTGGAACTGGCTCCAAACCTTCCCCCTTCCTCCATCCAAAACCAAGACTTATCTGTCCCGAGTCCCATCCCTTTAGGACCCTGATAAAGGACAGCAGCCACTCTTCCCTGGAACGTGGCCATCGGTGTCCAAAAAGGGAATCTGAAACTTGCAAAGAAGCCACAAAGGGGACAGCACATCAGTTCAGCATTCAACGGGGCAAAGGTCACCGGGGCACTTTCTAGATTATAGGAATGTACTCGGGGTTCATCTCATGGGTCGGATTAAAGACCCAGCCTAAACGAAGTCACATGTCAACTTGTAGATTTTGTCTAGGAGAGATGTAAATAATTTTTACCTCATAGAACAGATAACTCCAAAGAGTAATGGCCTGTTGAACATTAAACAGCTTTTAAAAATCTAACTCAGCAATCTCCTTCTAACATTTTTGTTGTTGTTAAATTGCCTAGCTCTTTAAATGTTCTTTGAGGCATTCATAACATCCCTCATTAGTCAATGAGTTAAATAAAATCTTCCATATGAGTTCATTTTATATTTGCCTACAGATCATAATTTTGCCTTTTAGAAAATGATAACAATGACTGGGTGAAGTGACTCACACCTGTAGTCCCAACACTTTGGGAGGCAGAGGTGGGAGAATTGTTTGAGCCCAGAAGTCCAAGACCAGCCTGGGCAACATAGCAAGACCTGGTCTCTACAAAAAATACAAAGATTAGCCAGGCATGGTGACGGGCGCCTGTAGTCCCAGCTACTCCAGAGGCTGAGGTGGAAGGATCACCTGAGCCCAGGAAGTCAAAGCTACAGTGAGACATGATTATGTCACTGCACTCCAGCTTCGGCAACAGAGGCAGGCTCTGACTCAAAAAAAAAATAAAATTACAACAATTCTGGAGAGTCCACAGAGATGGTCTGGTAGATTCACCTGGCAGAATCCAGTAAACTGCATGGCTGGACAAACACACATCATGGTTCTTTGAGTCCTTTTTTTGACTCTCAGAGGGAATCCCAAATGCAATCGAATGTTGAGTTTGCTGATTCTGTTTCCTGTGTTGTTGAGTTTTCCTGTTTGCTAATTTTATGTTTTTATTTAGGATTGCACAACTGTGTCTGTAAGGAAAATGGGGTGTGGTTTTGTCTGAAAGTGTGTGGTTATTCTAGAACATGGAAAGGGATAGAAAGGCAAAGCCTGAACGGATATACAATGTTATAGGTTTGTTGAAGGGGAATCTTTATTTGCTTTGACTTATAAGACTGAGTCTGCAAGCCGGGCTCGGTGGCGACAGAGTGAGACTCCAACTCAAAAAAAAAAAGCCAGGCTTGGTGGTTCAGCCTGTAATCCCATGCCTTTGGGAGGCTGAGGTAAGTGGATTGCCTGAGCCCGCGGGTTCGAGACCCGCCTGGGCAGGCAAGACCTCATCTCTACAATAAAATAAAATTTAAAAATTAGCCGGGCATGGTAGCACGCACCTGTAGTTCCAGCTACTTGGAAGGCTGAGGTGGAAGGATCGCCAGAGCCCAGCAGGTCGAGGTTGCGGTGGCCGGGAGCGGCCACTGCACTCCAGTCTGGGCGACAGAGTGAGACTCCAACTCAAAAAAAAAAAAGACTGAGTCTGCAAATAAGCTATAAAATGTATTCATATTTTGCCAAATTTGGCTCCATTTTGATGGGTTTAAAAATAAGTAATAAATAAAAACTCATAAAATTTTTACTGTTACATGTTCTTTCTTTCTTTCCTTTCCTTTTTTTTTTTTTTTTCCCTGAGTTTAGGTCCCACTCTGTCAACTAGACCGGAGTGCAGTGACATGATCACAGCTTACCACAGCCTTGACCTCCTGGGCTCAGGCAATTCTTCCACCTCAGTCTCCCAAGTAGCTGGAACTATAGGGCTGCACAACCATGCCCAGCTAGTCTTTTGATTTTTTTGTAGCAATGAGGTGTTACTATGTTGCCTAGGCTGCTCTTGATTCCCTGGGTTCAAGTGGTCCTCCCATCTCATCCTCCCAAAGTGCTGGGATTGCAGGTGTGAGCCAGCATGCCTGTCCTTACGTGTTCTATTGATGCAAAACTAGAATTTGGCTTATCTTTACTAAAATAATAAATGGCTCTTAGAGCTCTTAGCAAAGGTTAAAAAGAAGTCATTATATAGCTTCTGTATAAGCTGCCCAGGTAATAGAGATTCCCTTTCTCATCAGAATAATTTATTCTGCTTTGTTTAGACCTTAAAGCATCATTTTGGGGGGAGAAGTAGAAACAGGGTCACCATGTTGCCCGGAATGGTGTTGAACTCGTGGCCTCAAGTGACCTGGCTGCCTTGGTGCTGGGATTACAGGTATGAGCTTCCTACCTAGCCCATACTAATTATTAGGGGAAAACAAAAAAAAAGGACTGGGTGCAGCAGGTTGACGCTGAGGTGGCTGTGAGCGTGCCACTGCACTCCAGCCTGGGCGACGGAGTGAGACTTCAACTCAAAAAAAAAAAAAGCAAAGACATCTCCCTTATTTAAATTTAAAAAAAAGCTAACTGCTCTTGCAATCATATTATCTTCTCCTATGCTTATTTAAAATATATTTTAATTTTTATCACTTTGAGAAAATAATAACCAAGTTATTGGGCCGACAGGATCCTCTCTTAATCTAGTGCCCAATTTTTCTCTAACAGCTCTTTTGATTTTGTCTTCCCAGGATCCAATCCTAAATTTAGAAATAAAATAAAATACAAAGTGTAGGATATCTTTCTCTATATTTTTAAAATCTTCAACACTATTAAAAGAGCATCAAGACTGGTCAAATCAGAAGATGTTTGCCCTTTCCTAGGCTAAGTGTTCATAGACAAAATGCTGTTAATATAAATATTTCAGAAATTTCATGCTTGATGGAAAGGCCCTGGAGATTTCTCAGTGCCTTTGCCATTCCTAATATGTTCTGATCTTCAAGGGAAACACTGATCGAACCCTTATGAAATAGTTATGTACTGTACTCGGATAAAGAGTATCACTCTCCTCCATCCTGATATCATTAGGCCCCATAATAAATAACTGCAGCCTTTCAGTCTCGTTCCTAGACAAGTTTCTGCTCTGCTACGTCTGCCTGAAGGGTCTGTCGTGAGCTGCAAGTCACAGTTTGTGTCTTCAGCAAAGAAGGACAAACTCAACATCTGGAGAAAAAGGAACTTCTTATGCTTCATTTGGGTACAGGCTTTCGAGTTGACATTGGGTGACCTTGACTGAGCTAGTGGACTGAGGATTGCTAGGACTCTTTTGAGTCCAAAAGCAGACAACTTACCCAAGATCCACAAGAACAAGAATGAATTACATGGCACTGATCGAACTGTTAGAGAAAATCTATCTGTGATTATCTGTTGAGATTATGGTTGCTATTATTTTTTATCATTCCACTTTAATAGATCTGGAAGTTCTTTCTCTGTCTTCTTCAGCTGTTTCTAGCCCACAGTTTAGTAGATTATACTTTTTTTAGACTGTCTCACTCTATTGCCTAGGCTGGAATGCAATCATAATTCACTGTATCCTCAAACTCCTCAGCTCAAGTGATCTTCCCACTTCAGTCTCCCAAGTAGCTGGGACTATAGGCATGTGCCACCACACCTGGCTAATTTTATTTTTATTGCAGAAATGGGTTCTTGCTATGTTGTCCAGGCTGGTCTTGAACACTTGACCTCAAACCGTCCTCCCGCCTCAGCCTCCCAAAATGCTGGGATGTCAGGCACAAGCCACTTTGCCCAGCCAGAGTATACTTTTTTGTAAACTGAAATTCAACATTTTAAATGGTATCTGAATCTCACTGACCCCCTCATGATTCAGAACCCAGGACCTGTACTGACTCTCCAGACTTTCCATGGCAACATTATTATTTGTACAGGTTCAATAGAATCTGTATCCTTTTTACCAACATACAACTGGATAAGTCAATCATGCAGCCAAGGCCCTACTTGAAGTTCACTTTATAGAACAATCATTATTTAATCAGGTCTGATAAGCCCTCTCAAGGAACACCCGTGGAGCCAATGCCTGCAGAACCCTTCCAGAAATCTGCCTGGGAACCACATGGTAAGGAAGGTTGCTTCCTGGCAGAAGAGGGACCTTAGAAAAGTGGAGACTTCAGGAAGAGAGGCAGTCACTTAAATTTATAGGTGCTGCAGGTGACATCTAGTGAAGAAAGTGTTTTGGACCTGGTTTGCTAGCCTTAAGATAGAAATAGGTTGATCAACTCATCCCAGTTTGCCCAGGACTTTCCTAATTTTAGCACTCAAAAGTCCATGTCCCAGGTACCCTTCAGTCCTTGGAAAACTGAAACAACTGGTCACTCAATAGGAAAACAAATTATGGTCCAGGTACAGTGACTTATGTACTTTGGGAGGCCAAGGCAGGAGGATTGCTTGGGCCCAGGAGTTTGAGACCAGCCTGGGCAACATAGCAAGACCTCATCTCTACAAAAAATAAAAAAATTATCCCAGCATGGTGGTATTCACCTTTATTCCTGGCTACTCGAGAGACTGAGGTGGATTACCTGAACCCAGAAGGTTGAGACTGAGATTGTGCCACTATACTCCAGTCTGGGGGACAGAGTAAGCTCCCTCTAAGGAAAAGAGAGAAAGAAGGAAGGAAGGGCGGGAGGGAGGGAAGAAGGGAAAATGAAAAAAAAAGAAAAGCAAATCACGGAGGTTTTAAAAGTCCAACCTGAAATTCCATATGAAAACTGACAATAGCTAAAATGGTTCAGTGCTGCAAAAGTCTTGATTTGTAGAGCAAATTTAAGGAAATTATCAAGCCAAACCTAATGAGACTAGACTTTTATACATCAAGAAAAAATTTTGGAGATAATCTATGATCATGGAAAAATTATCTGAAACTTGGAAATAAGGCCAAAAGGTAGGCAGCACATCCTTTCAGCATTCTACAGAGGCAGAGATGACCCGAGCCTTGTCTAGATGGAAGGCATGAACTTAGTTTATCTCACTGTTTACCTTTAATTAAAAGTCCCAGGCTTCCTGAAGTTACTTGTTAACTTGCAGATTTTTGCTCAGAAGAGATGAAAATCATTTTTGTCTAGTAAAACAGCTAACTCCAAAGATTTACGGCCTGTTGGACATTAGCCATTTTTTAAATGGAACTCAGCAATCTTATCCTAACATTCGTCTGTCAAATTGCCTATAAATAATCCTCAATTCTCAAGTGCTCTTTGAGCTAATCATAATATCTTACTGGTTCCCTCATTAATTATGAGTGATAATTAATTAGATAAGACCTTTCATAATTGTTGATTTTGTATTTACTCAAGTCTTTTTATTTGTTACCGTTTTGCAAATTGGATTTAAACATTAATAGAACGTGTGGCAGTAAAAGTTGCATGAGTTTTTAGAGCAGCACTGGGGGAGACAGCAGGCCCCAAGGGACTATAGCAGCCCACATAGGCCCCTTTGCCGTGAGTGAGAAAAAAACAAAGGAAACATTGGTTCATCTCGGGCTAGGCCATAGCCTAAGACTCCTTATTGGGACACACAATTATGGCTGATCTTTTGTTTCACTGATGTTTATAGTCATTGACATGGTTTGATTTCCAGAGCTCTGCTCAAAGCATGATAAACCCTGCTCAGGCCTAAAATTATACCATTTGCAAGTTACTTCTTTGGCTTAAAGTTCTTTCCTTTATTAAATGCAAATGTTTCTGGAAGAGGATAACCCATAAAGCCTTGTTAGTCGTTTGCATGTTAGTATAAATGAATTCCTAGCTTTTACTGAGAGCAAATTTTAAACAAGGGAAAGGGGGAGATGAAGGCAACCCTGGCTTTCCCAGATGGAGAGTCTCAGAAAGCTCCAGAAAAAGGTTTCAGGGGATTGAATGGGGGCCTTGAGCTCACCGCCAGGTCCTCACGGGTAACAAAGCCTCTCTCCTTGGCACCACAGTCCTGGAAGAAGTCCTGCAGTTCTGCAGCTGCCTGAGAGGACCAGGTCTCTGGTTCTGGGGCCACGGGGGCATCTTGACCATCAGCTGGCTCTCTTGTCTGCTGCCGCCGGCTGGAGCCCAGCTTCCGGCCTTTTCGAGACACTCTCTGTTCACTCTCCATGGTGTCTTGGCCCTGGAGACAGAGAAAAAGTGAGGGGGCACTGGGCTGCTGGACAGTCAAACCTCATGGCTCAAAACCCTCCCATGGCCCCCATCTCCCCTGGATGAAAATCCACCATGGCCGACAGAGCCCTGTCATCCCCCACCCGGCCCTCTGATCTCAACTCCCACCCCACCTCCCAGCCTCTCTTAGCCTCACCCAGAGTCTTTGCCCTTTCTGCAGTTCCCTCTGCCTGGAATGCCCTCCCCTGAGCTACACACATGTCCTCATCTCCTTGGGGTGTCTGCTCAATGATCAACAGTCTTCTCTGACCCTTAGATAAAACAGCCCTCACGTTGAATAGGTCCTGTTTCTTGACCTGGAGGTGGTCACTCAGGGTCTTCCAGGATCTCGCTATCTGAAGGACCAGACGCGGCTTCCTGAGTCATCTTCCAGCTGCTCCTGCGGCTCATCTCCTCACATCTTGTTTGCATCCAAATGACGGATTCGGCCTTCTGGGAGCGGATCCCTCCATGACGCTGCCACCCGTGCTCAGCCTCACCTCTCCTCCAGCCTTTTCTCTCCTCAGTCCTATTTCTCTACTCCTTCACACACCAAACAGGGAATCAACAGCTCCCCTGTGCAGCCCACTCCCGGCCCCTGGAATGCCTGGTTCCCTCCCACCCTTACTCCCTTTGCCCCAAACTCCCTAACTCTCTCACGCACTTGTCCAGCTAATACCCTTCCTCACCATAGGGGCTGCCTCCTCCAGAGGTCTTCCTTGTGCCTGCTATGGTTTGACTGTATCCTCCAAAGTTCATGTGCTGGAAACTTGATCACCAGCAAGACAGCATTGGGAGGTGGGATATCATGGGAAGTGTTTGTGTCTCGAGCCACCACCCTCATGAATGGATTAATGTTGTTTTGTGGAAGTGGGTTCCACAAAAAGGATGAATCGTCCTTGAAAAAGGATGAATTCGGGCCGGACTTGGTGGCTCCGCCTGCAATCCCAGCACTTTGGGAGGCTGAGGCAAGTGGATTGCCTGAGCCCACGGGTTCGAGACCAGCCCTGGCAACTTGGTGAGACTGCATCTTTACAATAAATTAAAAAATTAGCCTGGCCTGGTAGTATGTGCCTGTAGTTCTGGCTACTTGGAAGGCTGAAGCGGAAGGATTGCTTGAGACCAACAGGTCGATGCTGGACTGGCCATGAGTGTGCCATTGCACTCCAGCCTGGGCAACGGAGTGAGACTCCAACTCAAAAAACAAAACAGACACACACACAAAAAAAGAAAAAGGATGCCTCTGAATGCATCTTTCTCTCTCTTGCTCTCTCTTGCCCTGCTGCCTGCCACCACGGGTGACACAGCAAGAAAGCCCTTGCCAGATGTCAGCCCTCAATCCTGGACCTCCCAGCCTCAAGAACTGTGAGGAAACAAATTTCTGTTCTAAATGAATTACCCATTCTGTGGTATCTGTTATAGCAGCACACAACAGATGACGGCCCCATGATGCCACCGGCTCCCCTATGGAGGTCACTGTGTACCTTGGCCCACACTGCTCCAAGCCCCTTCGCCCATAGTAGGTGCTCAATAAGGGTTGTCAGATTCCTTAATTGGGGTCCCTTCCTATATGGCTGAAGGTCTTAGTTCAGTCATTCAATGGATAAAGATTACAATGGATAAGAATTTGCCCAGGTGAGGCCCCCAGGGCAAGGAAGAGGAAGATGGAGGTCTGGAAGGGATAGAGTCCGAGCCTTCCCTTGGGGAAATAAGCCTGGGGTGCATAAAATGTTATGAAATGAGGACTTTATGTCTAGATAGTTAGCACAGCTTCCCACAGGTGGAGGGACCCGAGTGAGTGATAAAGGAGGCATGGAGGGTTTGGAAGCAGTGAACAGCGTACGTGAAGGAATCCATGCAGCAGAGCCAGGTGGTGCCCCTGAGAGAGAGGAGATGCCCTCACTGGGTTTTCTCTGTCAGGGCCAAGGCCACAGATGAGCTGAGTAGGGTCTCAGAGGTTCTATTTCAGCCACATGGGCTCATTCCCGGGGGGTGGGAGAGCTGGCCTCCCCTTGGGCAAGCTTCCTCGCAGGCTGCACAGGACGTGGATGAAGCAATTCCTCACTCCGGGGAGGCCCCTAACCTCAGACTGAGGCAGTCAGTCTCTCTCCCTCTTGCTCTCTTGCTCCCGACTCTTTGTCTCTCACTTTTTGTCTCTCTCTTTCTCCTCGTCTCATCTGTTTCTTTCTCTCTCCCTCTCTTCATCTGTTTCTCCCCCCGCCCCAGTTCGTCTTTCTCTCCCTTGAAAGTTTGTTTCGGATGCAGTTTTAAGAACATGAATGTAAAGCTGCCTGGTGTGCCATGTCAGGCCCTAGGGGTTTGTGAAAGCCAATTGTGCGTATCTCGTCCAAACTCAGCAGTGTGGAGTCAACCCCAGTGGGAGTCTTTACACCATGGGAATCGGCAAATACTACAAGTCAGGGCTCCCGCTCCCACCAAAGGATAGTTACCAGCACACTTCTTCTGAGAACACTTCTGCCTGAACTCTTCCTGAGCTCTATCATGCCCTTAAGTGACAAGCATTTACTGAGTGCCAACTGAATGCCAGCACAGTACTAAGCAAGCCTGCCGTGAACCCTATGTTTCCTTTAGGTGAATTAGGAAAATGCACTTCCTCCTGGCAGGCACATCCCAGTGCCAGGGCTCATGGTCTGATCAGGGCCCCATAGACTGGATTCCAGTCTCCACTTACCCTCTTGGCTGGCACCCCTTTGGCAGGACAGCCTACCCACCCAAGCAGAGCTCCCGGCCCTGTAGGTATAGGTGTGATAACGCCTGGTCTCCCTTGGAGGCTCTCAAGCCTCACGCAGGAGAATACACAAATACAACTAACTACATTGCAGCATGGAAGGGGCAGCAGATCTGTGTGTCAAGTGCTAGGGGAGCACTGAAAAAGGAGCATCTCACTGGTCAGGGAGTGTCAGGGAAGGCTTCCTGGGGGAGATGAGAGCTTAACAGTGAGCACTAAGGCAGAAGAGATCACACTTAATCCTGGGTCTCCTTGTGGTGTCCAGTCTTGCACTGGACATGCATTGGGCTCTCAGTCACTTTCCCCACTGACTCACACTGTCCCCTAGAATGTGAGACATTCTACTAGACAGTGGAATAGACTCTTAAAAGTGTGGATGTCAATCGGGCTCCGTGGCTCAGCCTGTAATCCTAGCACTTTGGGAGGCCAAGGCGAGTGCATTGCCTAAGCCTTCAGGTTCAAGACCAGCCTGGGCAACTTGGCAAGACCTTGTCTCTACAATAAATAAAAAATTAGCCAGGCGTGGTAGTGCCTGTACCAGCTACTTGGAAGACTGAGGTGAAAGGATCGCTGGAGCCCAGCAGGTTAATGCTGGGGTGCCCATGAGTGTGCCACTGCACTCTAGCCTGGCAATAGAGTAAGACTCCAACTCAAAAAAAAAAGAAAGAAGAAGAAGTGTGGATATTGTAAAAGAAAAAATAAGGCAGGGGACAGTTCTGTATTTGAGATACTAAAGATAAATAACACTCGATGATTCATAACTAGATTCCCTTTTAGAAAAAGAGAAAAAAGTAGGAATAAGGGACATTTTGGGGACAACTGGGAAAATCTAAATGTGGATTATATGTATTAGATGATATTAAGCAATGTGGAATTTCTTAGGTGTAATAATGGTGATATATTCATGTAGGTGAATCTCCTTGTCTTTAAAAATATGTGATCAGGTCGGGCATGGTGGCTCCAGTCTGTAATCGCAGCACTTTAGCAAGTAGAGGTGAAGGGATTGCCTGAGCTCAAGGGTTCGAGAACAGCCTGGGCAACTTGGTGAGACCTCATCTCTACAATAAATCAAGAAAAATTAGCTGGGCATAGTGGCATGCACCTGTACTTCCAGCTACTTGGAAGGCTGAGATGGAAGGATCACCTGAGCCCAGAAGGTCGAGGCTGGGGTGGGTGGCCATGAGCATGCCACTGCACTTTAGCCTGGATGACAGTGTGAGACTCTAACTCAAAAAAAAAGAAAAAGAAAAGAAAAAAGAAAACTAAATAAATAAAAATAAAAAGCAGGGAGGAAAAAAGCCAAGAATGAGATTCCTGGGACTAGAAGACGAAGACCCCGTGCTAGTCTGACTGCCCTTCCTCTAGCATCTCCCACCCCCAACTCACCCCTACGCTGCCCCACGGAAACAAAGACCAGATAGGCACCTCTCCTTGGGTCACAGCCATCCACACCCAGAAAGTCACCATCCCTCTCTAGTTCCGGTCCCCCAAGAGGGGAGCTCCTCCCTCCACAGCCTTCAGTGACTAACGGGGCTTGTCCCAGCAGCTCCGGCCTTGTGGATTTTAACCAAAGAAGGACTCACTAGACCTCAGTACCAGAAGAGGTCAGTCCTACGCTCCTGACCTAGAGAGGTGGAAAAGGAAACCTGTAAGAGGATGTGACTGCCAGGCCCTGTGCTCTGAAGTCAGACAGACCCTTGCCTCTGCCAGTTCTGCTGCTCATTAACTGTGCAACCTCGGGCACAGGTTAAGTCATTTAATGCCTCTGTGCCTCCATTTCCTCACCGGAAATATAGGACCAATGTCTACCACACAGTTACTATAAGGATTAAACAAGATAATTGAAGTTGAAACACCACTTCCCGTTCCCTGGCACGGCATCACCTCCCTTTCCGGCTTTGCTTTCTCTAAGCACTTGTCACCTTCCCAAAATAGAGTTCTTTTTTTTTTTTTCCTGAGTCGGGATCTCACTCTGTCACCCAGGCTGGAGTGCGGTGGCATCATCACAGCTCACCGCAGTCTTGACCTCCTGGACTCAGGCAATCCTTCCACCTCAGTCTGGGACTACAGGCGTATACCACCACCCCTGACTAATTTTTTTTATTTTTGTATAGACACGGTCTCGCTATGTTGCCCAGACTGATCTCAAACTCCTGGGCTCAAGCAATCCTCCACCTCAGCCTCCCAAAGTGCTGGGATTGCACTTTGAG